CCCGGGAGCGCGACCCCGTTAACGGGGAGCTGCTGGGGCTGCCGCGCTGCTGAAGCGGAGGCGTTTGGGGAGCGGTGGGGTTTGAACAGGTTTGGAGGGCGCGGGAGAGGGCCGGGGCTGGGCCGGCCCCGTCCCGGCTGCTGGAAAGCGTCACCCGCGCTGGGATGGGACTGGCTGGGAATGCGCCGGGAGCGCGGGGCGCTGGGGTCACGGCAGGCAAAAAGACCGGGAGGAGGGCGCCGGCGGAGAGCGGCTCCCGGGGAGCGGCGAGAGCCGCGGGGTGCTCGTGTGCCTCTGAGTGTGCTCCGCAGGGTCAGCTTCCCCGAGAGCGAAACGAAGTCAAAAACTGGTCGATAGACGGACCAGGAGAGAGACAAGTACAGGGGCAGGCAGCCGGACAGAGGGGCTTAAAGCCGGCCGAGCGCGGCGCGGGGGGCTGGCTCCGCCCCAGGCGGCGCTGGGCGAGGGGACACGCGTGGCCGTGGAGCAGCCGGCCGGCAGGTACGCGGCACTCCTCGGGGCAGCCCGTCGGGGCGGAGGACGGGCGCTGCGCGCCGGGGCTCTCTGCCGCGCCGGCTTCGTCCTTCCCGCTTCCCCCGCTTCTCCGGCCCCGCTTCTCCTCCCCATCTCCCAGGCGGCCGGCTCTGCCTTTCCCGCTCGGGCCGTCCCCTGCCTCGGTGGCTCCGGTCTCCCACCTTCCGTGCCTCTCCTCTCCTCCCAGCCCCTTGATTTTATCGCTCCAAGACTCTCTTCCCCCCCACCCCGACCTACAGACTCCTCCTTCTCCATCTGGCCTCTAATTCGGCTTCTGCTTATTTTTCCTCCCGCAGCCTTTCTTTTTCTCTTTTTCTTTTTTTCCTCTTCTTCCTTTTCTCCTTTTCTTTTTTCTCTCTTTCTTTTCCTTTTTCTCTTCCCCCCTTCTTTTTCTCTTTTTCTTTTTCCTCCCTGCCTCCCTCCCTTCTTCCCCCCCGCGGCGCGGCACGCGAACCGCACGCGTCCCAACAAAGCTCCGGCCCGGCCCGGCCGCCCCCCG